GCCAGGGGCCAGGGGCCAGGTGAGAGGTTAAAGAAGGATCACCCCCTTTCAACCATGGAACGTTCTGGATCTTGGGGAGGAGAGAATGTAGAATTCCAGAGGAAACATCTCATGACTGGGGCAGATAATTCACCTGAATCTTGTGCTCTTTACCATGGAGCAGGGAAATATTTCAGGGTATTAGTCAGTGTATGCTTGGTGGCCAGAAGTCCAGGGGGTACATTTGGACCCAGAATCTACAGTCGGTGTGTGTGTGTGTGTGTGTGTGTGTGTGTGTGTGTGTGTGTGTGTGTGTGTCTCCAGGCCACTGGGAGTGGCAGCCTCTGAAAATGCCTGAATGTCACCTCCAGAGGTCCCGTTCACAGAGGTGGGGGCCAGGTAGAGCCCTCCGCAGCCCTGAACAATTCTTCACCCTTAAAAGACTTCGCCCCAATGAGACTGAGCTGACTGACTCTGGAATACTCTAGAATATTCTGGAAGTATCTAGTTTGTTGCAGCAGCTGCGTGGCCCAGGTGCTGAGAACAGCGGTTAAACTGGGAAAACAGGGCAGGAGGGAATAGTATGGGAAGAAGAAAAAGAAGGGTCTTGCCTGGCACCTGGTGGTTTCAGATGACCCTGGTTCAATCACTGGCTCTACATGGCCCTAACAACCTCCTCTTCCTCACCATTTATTTTTTAAATGTAGGAGTACTGCTATTTATTCAGCCACTGATTAGGCTGATTGAATTGGGCATGAACTCCACCCTCACCATTTTTTTAAAAGAAATCAAAATAGAAGGTTGTTGTTTGCTTGCATAAGTGAAGTGTGGATTGGAAATTTCTGCTTGAGGCATTAGCTATTCCTGTTTTGTCTATTCATGTTCATCCCAGCATCACTAAGGTCCTCTGTTGGCCACTGTTCGTAGCCAGCTCACCGTGCCAGCTCTCTCCTTCCTGCACTCGTTCGTACTTCCCATCTTACAGCCCTCTCAGATTGTGCCTAAAACGATTCATAGCAGACCCTTACTCCGTAGCAGCCACCACACCGAGATTTTTGCCAACTTCATGAATTATCACCAGGAGGGGCTGAGGGCTGTGGATAGCAGGTCCATTTCCCAGAAAATAAAACCAAGGCTCGGGGGAGGGGGGAGAGGCAGAAAGGACTTGACTAAGATCACATACATAGGCAGTAGATGATAGAGCCTGGATTCAAAGTAGCCTGGTGTTAAGGGTCCATGCTCTACTGCCCTTTTCCATTTCGGGGGTGCTCGGAAACATTTGGGAAACACCCCATTTACCTCCTTGTCCTTACCTCTCGAAGAGTAGGGATATCCACAACCTCTCCCTGGTCTGGCTCTGTCTCTGGCTTTCAGAAAGACACAACTTTTATAGCCTGAGCAAGCACTGAGCCTGGGTGGGTGGGCACGTGGGCGGTCAGTAGGCTCCCAGCCAGGATTCACACTTGGAGGAGTAAGTGCTTCAGTGGAGGCAAGAGGGTGGTCTTGGCACTAGGTGGACGGGGCTTCCAGCCAAAACTGATAGGGCCTAGCACTGGGCAGGCAGAGGGCCAGGAACAACAGACTCCAGGGAGGAAGTGGGTGGGGGTGCTGTGGTTTGTGGGGTGGGTCTTCTCCCTGGAACAGCAGAGGCACACAGCCTGGGGCAGGGCCTCCAGCTCCTGAGAGGGGCCAGGTCTCTGATTATAGGATGTGGCTATCACAGAACCCAGACCGGGCTGTGTGACAGGGGGAGAGGCAGACCCCAAAGGTATGGGGCCCCACTCATATATCTCACCCCTGCCAGGCTTCTGCAGCAGGCAGGCCGGTTTACATCCCTTGTGGCCCTCGGTAGCTGTGCAACCATGGACAAGTTATTTCCCTGCCAAGTCTCACTTCTCATGTCTGCAAAATGGGTATAACAGCCCAAGTGTATCTTTTTTTTTGTGGGGTTCTATGGAATGTTTGTTGGGACATCTCCTGGAAGGTCTCAGCACAAGGCCTGTGCTTTGAAAGAGTTCCAGAGAAGTCACCTATTTTACATCCTGTTGAGGATAAACTATCCCTGTGGGGTGGGTGGTGCTTGGGGTGGTGTTAGGTGCTTTTCTCTGGTCACAGAACATGTCTGTGACATGGCTAGACAGTGTGTGTGTGTGTGTGTGTGTGTGTGTGTGTGTGTGTGTTTGTGTGTGTGAGTGCTCAGGGCTTCCTCCGGGCTCTGTGCCCTAGGATCATTCCTGGTGTGCTCAGGGGATCCTATGGTATGCTGGGGATTGACCTGGGTTGGCTGTGTGCAAAGCAATCTCTACCCATTGTGAAGTCAGTGGTTGTTTAGCTGCAGCACAGGAGATGAGGAACTACCATGCGGGGAGGTGCCAAGATCTCAGTCCTTCCCAGAGAAATGGAACAAAAGAGTTTTGTTGATCCTGTATGTGGAAGCCTGGTGCCACCCTGGGTATGGGCACATCTGGCCGAGTGAGCACTGATGCTTCTTACCCCACTGTCCAGTGCAGTCCGCCCGAGGTGGGCATGCTCATTTCTCGGTGCTATTTCTGTTTCCAGTGACTGCTTAGATTCCGAGGGACACAGAGGGCTCTCTCTGCCCCAGTCCCAGAGGTGGTGGAACTGGCAGTTCAGGCTCAGGGCTCCTGATGGGAAGGTGCATGCGTGGCACTTGGGTTCTTATCTGGTCTGAAACAGAAGTGACGAAAACAGTCAAGTTGCAAATCAGTCAGGTAGGAACCATTGGCAATAAATTTCAGGGAGACAAAAAATAAAAAGCATTAGAACAACCAAGGACTGTTTGGAGAGACAAGATAGATTCTGAAAGAGGGGTGCTCTGCTGCCACCCCACTTCTGGGAGATGACAAGGGACCAGGAATGTGCCCTGAGTGGTTGAGAGGGAGAAGACCACCAGATCTCCAAGTCCTGCCCTTGGCAACACTGTATAGCGGCTCTTATCCACAGAGAAAGCCCCCTGCCAGGCAGTCTGGAAAATGCTTTCAAGCCGACTTTGCCAAAGCAATCAGTGCAGACTGCATCCCAGGGCCAACCGTGTACCCTTCTGGGTGTTGTCCCCAGTGGAGTTGCCCGCTAGGGTACACTTCCCTTCTCTCTTTCCTCTCTCTCTCTTGAGTCCTAAATAAAAACATTTCACACTACCTGGCTTCCTGGAAACTCTTTTCTGAAACGGAAAGACAGGAGCCTGAGCCCAGGTGGAAATTGGGACTGACCTCTCCAAGCACCCCTGATCTTCCTGGGCACCCCGCGTCCCACACAGGAGGAGGCTGACACACAGGACATGCCCTTACCTTCCCGAGGGGCTGCGGCTCGGAGGGAGGCTTCGTGGGGGAGTGGAGAGGGGCTGTGTGGGGTTTGTGTCAGAGACCCATGTCCTCTCCATGGGTCGGGGGAGGTTGGGCACAGGGTTCCTGTGGACACTTGCTGGTCTTGCTCTGGGTTCCTGAGATGGGATCTGAGGAGTGGGGGGTAGCGGGTTTGGGAGCCGAGTCCAGGAGACAGTGACAGGGGAGAGGCTGAGGGAGGTAGCGAATCAAGGAGCATTATAAAGCCAGGCCCCTCCTCTGCCGCCCCGAGTACCTGGGCTCAGTCCTGCTGGGAAGCTGTGGGGCCAGGGCCAGTGTGCAGCTGGTCCCTACCTCCTGGGGTGAGGAAATGTGGTTACTCACCTACAACCCTGGACAACCCCAGAAGTGGTGGGGTCAGAAGTGGCAGCTGTGACTATGCAGGGGAGCTCTATGTGACCAGGTGGCACAGCCCCCCTATCATGGGGAGCTGTACAGACCCCATTATCAGGACCAAATGGGGCAAAAGCCCTGGCCCTCAGGTTCCTCCAAGCCCCCTGCACAGAGTGTGGCCAAGCAGAGGGCCCCAAAGGAGGTCACACAGACCAGTGACGGGGCAGGGCTGATCCTAGCCTGTGAGTGGAAATGCCTAACCCACCTGGACGAGGTTCAGAAATACACAGAGAGGGACACAGCGGTCACAGGTTGTGAGGGGTGCAGGGGCTCTGGGCTCAGGGGCTGCTAGCACTAGCCCTGGACTGAAGCCTCTCGGTCCCCGGCTTCCTGTTGAGCAGCCCAGCCCTGCAGACAGTGATCTCCCTCCCACACTCTCCTCGGGGGACAGGGCTGTCATGGGAGGCCTGTATGCAGAGTAGGAAAAGGACTCTCCCCAAAATGCATATCCGCCCCCGGTATGGGCCCGTCCCATGAGAATAGGACTCTGTGTGCTGGGCCTGGCCCAGTCTGGAGAACAGGGGCCTCATTGTCGTCCTGGGCCTCGTGGCCTCAGGGAGGCCAGGGGGACAATGGCTGTCACCTGCTGTCCAAGAGGAAAGGACTGGAGTGAAGGGCCCCACATTCTGGAGGCCAGGTCACCATCGGAGAGTGAACTCACCGCCCACCACAATGTCTGAGTGCCTCAACCCCGGCCACTGCTGTCTCTCATTCTGCCCCCCACAGCCTGCCAAGATGTGGTTCTCCCCACTGCACAGAGAAGGAAACTGAGGCCCCAGGGGAAGCTGCCTCCCAAGTCTAACATGGATTTTGGGGTCCCAGCCAGAGTTCTGGGGTGTCTCCAGGTATGGTTCAGGTACCCCTAGGGAACTGTTCAGAGTATCCTGGATTCATCACACCAACACGAAGTAGAAAATGTTCTCTCTCACAAATTTCCCCAAGGGGTTGTCCTCCTATAGGTGGTCTCGAGGCTGACAGGGAAGGTAGGAGGGGACAGCAACTCTCTTGTCCTGAGCCCAGTAGGGTCAGGCCCTAGTTGTGGTGCTCAGGGTCGTTGATGTGGTCAGACACAGAGGCAGCCCAGGTGGGATCGGGCATAGTCCAGAGCTCAGCTGGGCTCAGGGGTTCCTCCCCGACCCCTGGGGGCCCTGTGGTTTCCATGTAGGGACAGAGACACAGGCAGACAGAAGATGTCACAGACTGTGATTTTTTTTTTATTGCAGAGGAACAGTTGACACGGTGGCCTCCCATAACCCCACTGGGCTCCTGGCTGGCCCTGTCCAATGTCACTGAGTGAGGAGGGTGGTGCAGGGTTCACGAGGAGGCGGGTGTGATGACAAGGGCATCCTGGAACGGAGAGAAAAGTCAGAGGAGATTTTCACCCCAAGGCTTTTTTGTGGATGGTGCATGTTTGTCCTCTTCAAGGCAAGCCCTGGCTCTGGGGAAGATGGCCCTGATGTCACATAGATTCTTGGAGGTCAGAGGGGCAGGGTGTGGGGGAACCCTGAGGACATGCAGGTCTGGGTGTGAGATGGAACTGAACAGGTCTGTTGTCCCCAAGCTCAGCAGGTCCCCACCATTTTGCGAGAAGTTTTGTAAAAGGCAGATTCATTCCATCAGGGCTTACACTGCTGAATTTTTTTGGTGATGGTGGTGGTGGTGGGGCTGCATCTGTACCACACCCCGCAGTGCTCAGGGGCTACTCCTGGCTCAGAAATGGTTTTTGGAATGGAACAAGGGTTGTGGTCAAATGCAAGGAAGTGTGAGCCTTACCCTGTACTTTGTCTTTGACTCTAGACAACTGCATTTAAATTTTTCTTGGCAGGGGAGGGAGGGAACATATAGGTAGTGCTCAGGCCTGGCTTCTGACTCTGTGCTCAGGGATCACCCCTGGCAGGCTCCAGGGACCATATGTGAAATCAAGTATTAAATACATGTTGGCTACATGTAAGGCAAATGCCTTATGCTTCTATGTTTAATACCCCTTTAGAATTTTCTATTATAATGTTATATTTTAAACCACAAAACTAATTTAGAAGCTATTAAAACTATAGAAGCGAACTTACTGCTAGTTCAAAGAAATTAATAGACAAAATAAGAAATTTAGAAATAGTGCTGGGGAAATGACTCCATGGTTCAGAAGACATGCTTTGCCTTCAGGAGCCCCAGTTTTGATTACTGGCACCTCTTGGTCTCCTGAGCCCTCCTGGGAGTGGGCCCTGAGCACTGAGATGAGAGTAGCCCCAGAGAACTACTGGGTGTGGTTCCCAAATCATTTAAAAAGTAAAGAAATTAAAAAATAAATTCGAAGAACAGCGGTAGGGCGTTTGCCTTGCACGCAGCCATCATGGCCGACCCGAGTTCGATTCCTCCGCCCCTCTCGGAGAGCCCGGCAAGCTACCGAGAGTATCTCGCCCACACGGCAGAGCCTGGCAAGCTACCCATGACGTATTCCATATGCCAAACACAGTAACAACAAAGTCTCCAATGGAGACGTTACTGGGCCCGCTCAAGCAAATTGATGATCAACGGGAGGGCCTTTACTTTTACTTTACTAAAATATATCCTTAGGAGCCCAAGCAATAGTGAAGCAATAGGGTGCTTGCTTTGCATAAGGCTGATTGGGTCGAATGTCCAGCACCCCATAATGACCCCTTGAGCCTCACCAGGAGTGATCCCAGAGCACAGAGCTGGGAGTCATCCCTAAGAACCTCCAGGTGTGGCCCAAAAACCCAAAAAATAAAACCCCAAACCAAAAAAAAAAAAATAACCCCCAGTATCTTCAACTCATAGTGCAAATGATGGATCAGGTTGACTAGAGAAGCTGAGTAGGAAAGAGGGCAGTTGCTCCGGGTCTCCTCTGAGGGATCTGTGAAAGGAACCACACTCCTGCCATCCCAGTGGACACAGCGGTCCCCCTGTAAGAATGAGCGGCCAAATGTGACTGATTAACCACTCAGTGACTAGTGGACTCCCTGGGGCCTCACGGGCATGTGTTGGGAGTGGAGGAGGAGCACGTGGGGCTCGGAGAGAGGAAGGGCCTTGCTGAGGTCCAGCTAGGGAGGAGGAGCTGGGGCTTGAACCTCAGTCCAGACTCCCCATGCCTGTGCTCTCCTCCCTCCTGTCTTGTGCTTTCCTGTCATATCTAGCTCAGGATCCCATGTGGGGCTTCGGGCAGCCGCTCACATGTCAAGCATCTCCTTGAGTCTGAAGTCACGTAGCAAAACCTTTCCCCAGATGAGACCCCCCCACCATGGGGTGTTTTTGAAATTCCTTTTCTCTGAGTTATTTTTTTAGAAGAAAATTGTACAAGAGTTCAGTGACACCAACACTCAGCTTTGGAAATTAGGACTCATGAGAGTTCCGGGGTGGGTGGAAGTGTTTGCTGGTCTCAGGTTGGGCCCCTTGGTGGAAGGTAGCTGTCACGGGGGCGGGGGGCTCCTGAACGGATTATAATTCTGCTACCAATGACTCCCATGCAGTGTGTTGGAAACTGCAGGGTTTCTGTAGGTTTGGTCACTATTGAGGTTTGGGCCCATCCACCTCCACCCCCACTAGTTACTTGGTGGGTGACTACAGGTTAAATGATGGCCCATCTCTCTTTCCTTGGAGGTTGGGCAGGGAAATCAGGTGCTGAATGCAGGTTTGGATTCGAGCATGTCTGGGGCTGTGGTCTTGGAGAGAAAGTGTCTTCTTCACTCTTAGCCTCCCTTTCTGAGAGGCGGATTATACAGGGTCTACTAACTGGCATACGGTGAAGACGGAGCAGAGGTACCTATACCTCTGCACCAGGACAAAATGATCAGGGGCAGTGAAATGAGGCTCAGCGGCCCAGTAGTTGGGATGGTAATATTGGGGAGTGAGTAATGCTGTAACAGTCCCCTCAGCAGCAGCTACTGGAAGAGTCATTGCTCCCAATCAGTTAGGGAGCGTTTTTTGTACCCCAGGCCTTATTGAAGGGAAGAGCCGTGGATGGATAGATGGATGGATGGATGGATGGATGATGGCTGGCTTAATGGATGAGTGGATGGATGGGGGAATCGATGGACGATGAAGGGATGGATCAGTGCAAAAGTGAATGATGAATAGCTCCATGATGGATGGGTGATGAATGGATGGATGGATGATTGGGCCCAAGTGAATAGAGAAGGAAGCATCTTAATTATGGGCTAGGGCAGCCACATGTTACTTTACAATGAGGGAGTGAGGCCCTGAGAGCAGAAGGGTATTTCCTAAGATATCCTGAGTGAGCAGAGGGGTTAGGGTTGCACACAGCCCCATCTCGCAGTGACTGCGCCTGCCCTAGGAAGCCTATCACCCCACTCACCTTGGTCAGAGCCCAGGAAGCTGTTTGAAACCCCAAGCCTTTCACCAATGACAGTGGGATCCCGACTCTTAATTTGCCTGAAATAAGAAAAGAAACGTGATGAGAGATGGAGGAGGGGGTGACACTGGGCAGCTGTGGGCAGGCTCACAACTCCAGGAACTGCACATCCTGCACACCTCTCCAATTTTCCTCTCCTTTCCTGCCCTCAGGCCCTGAAACCCACCCTGCCTCACCCCCCACCCTCCACCCTCTGCCTCCAGCACTGGATTCTAGCTGCTCTGAAGAATGCCCCCTCCCAACCTCTCCCAATTCCATCGGTGACCCCATCGTCTGCAGCAGGTTTCTGTTGAATGAACAGAAAGGAAAGGTGGAGTTTCACCCAGGCTGCCTCCTCACCTGGGGAAATTTGAGTAATTGTACTTTTTCTCTTGGTTTCCTCCATTAGTATCGCAAACCACAATGCAATACTAGCAATGGCTCACAAAGGCAAGCAATGTGTCCATGCTATCTCCTTTATGGCTCTGATACTGATAATCTTCTACCCATTTTTCAGATGGAAACTTTGAGGTCCCAGAGGTAAGGCAGCCCTCCAAAGTTTAGACGACTAACAGGAGAGGTAAACAGAACTTGGCCCAGGTATGTCTGGGGCACCTGGAGTGTGTTCTAGCTGTGCGTTTTCATGCCTTTTTCTCTCTGCTGTAACCCTGGAGACTGGATGGTGCCAGGTTCATCTTTCCATGACTAGATTCTGACATGAAGTCTTGGCTGGGAAATGAGAGTCTGGGGAGTTCATTTCCCACCGTGAGGAGGTGGCATTTGATCTAGAATTAGATTCGCTTGGTGAAAAATGAATGAAAGCATCCCCAGAGGAACCACATGAGAAGGAAAGCCGCGGGATGTGGACGCACCGTTCTCACTGGGCAGCAGGATGGCGTTGATGAGCTCAGTGATGATGGGTTTCAGGAGATCCGGCTGCGAGACAGAGGGGGCGCTGTCACTGCCTGAGCACTAGCAGTTGCTCATGTAGTTCCCTCGGTGGACCCGGCCCAGACCCAGGATGAAATAGAAATGGGCATCTCAGGTTCCCTGCAGGTCAGAGCCTTTCCTGGGACCAGCCGGGGTGGAGTGGACACAGGATGCATTTCCTGTCCTCACTCTTAGGGGCTCCCCTGCTCCCCTGTTTCAGCAGAATTTCTCCTGAGGGTATTTTGTCCTGTGATTGCTGAGTTTCGGACTTCTAGAAAGTTAGAAACCCTGATTTTCACATGGAAACCTCCTCCTTGAAAGGCATAGGTCCATGGAAATTAAAAATAAAAGTAAAACACAAGAATCTCCCCAAAAAAGAGAAAAAATAAACAAACAAGCCAAAAGCCCAAACTAACGCACACCCATCAAACACCAGGGCAAAAGACAGGATTCAGTTCGTTGAAGGACTCTGACAGGAAACAGGTGTGGGGAGAAGGGGATTTCCAAGGCCATTGAGGTAACTCTCCTTGAGCAAAATGGAACTATGGAGAGAGATGCTTTGGGGTCTCATTTCTGCTCCTCTTCCCAGAAGGACCATGACTGTGTGTCTGTGAGTGTGCCTGGGTGTTCACAGCTGTATTCTGCAGGCAGGAGGTGCCTTTCTGGCTCATAACATGATGCCTCACTGGCCCCCGGCTACCCGCTAACATTGTCCCCTGTGCTAAGCAACCCTGGGTAATGCCTCCTTCCAAAGCCTTCCATCTGGGCTCTCCTGTGTCCTGGGACAGTCTGTTGACACTCACGTTGAACAGGCCGATGCCCGAGTTCATCAGGTGGATCCGATCAGAGCTGCAAAGGAAGATGCCCATGAGAATGTCCTTGGGAGTCCCACCCCTTCATATCCACTCAGCAACAGGTTCCTACTGAGTAACAGTAGACTGCAGAGTAGGTCCATAGCACCTCCTGTGGACCGGAAACAGTGCCAGCTCCGAACCCTATATAGTCTATGCTTCCTGGAGCTTGCGTTGTGGTGAGGTAGGGCAGGGGCAGGGAGTCAGAGAGCCAATAGTCGCCCGGGGAGCAAACACCCACCCACCAAACCAAAAACCAAGACCCCAAACCAACCAAATAGCAACAAGAAAACACCCCAGGAATGAGGATGTAGTGAGCTGGGAGCTCAACCTGCTCTGAAAGGGGCTTCAACCTGGAGGCTCAATTGTTTCTGCCATGCAATGGGTTGTGCCATCGCACCCCACCTACCAATGCCATACAATGGCAGGGCTGGCATCGAGGTGTTCAGAGGTTTGTATGTTGGCAACTACTTACATATATATATATACATATATATATATATTATGCGTTTTGGGTTATACCCGACAATGCACAGGGGTTACTCAGGAATTACTCCTGGCAGTGCTTGGGGGACATTATGGGATGCTGGGAATCGAACCCAGGTCGGTCTTGTGCAGAGCAAATGCCCTACCCATTGTGCTATCACTCCAGCCCCACTTTACGTATTTTTCTTTAAATCCTAATGCCATGGGATGATCCGAATACCCCTCCCCCCGCGCGGCCCTTACTTATGCCAGAACATATGCATCTTCTTCCCTTTCCCTCCCATGGGGTAGCAGGAGGGGGTGTGCTGTTGGGGGTGGGGGAGTCCAGGTAGAGAGGGCAGTGGCCTGAGTCCCACAGGCTCAGCATCTTGCATGGCTGAGAATCAGGCGGCCTGGAAGGGGTCCAGTTGCTGGAGGCCGAGCAGGTGGACAGGGCAGGTTGTTGTGGCCACTGCTGAAAGGCCATTTCTCACCCTTCGATTCTACTCACTCCCAGTCCTGAGCGGGCAGCCCACACTTGGTGCTCACACACCAGAGGCCCAAAATTCTGGGTGCTTAACATATCAATGCTGCCATGTACTCCTGGTGGCTTGCACTTGAAAGGGGTTTGGGCAACACAAGCTATGGTGCCAGCCAGCGTCCAACGGAAGCCTGACCCTTTCTTCACTGGGGTCCTCAGGAGGTGCACATTTACCTGATATCACCGAAGCTAATGATCAGCTGGTCACCTTCGGTGTGAAACTGTACATCCGAGCTGGCTTCCTGCAACAAGAGAAGGAATCTCTGTGGGTCGTGCCTCTGGGGCCACGTGGACAGGGCATGACTCCCAGCCCTGGGCTCTGGCCTTGCTGGGAGATGTTCCCAATCTACTAAGTGGAGGGGGACCTGTGCCTACTCCCGATGGAGTGGGGTCCCACGGGGAAGGAGGAGGACGAGGGGAGGGAAGATGATGGACAACAAGAACGACCACCACGTGCTATCACTGCCGCCTGTTTTCAGAACTTTACACACTTACCTCCCTTGATTCTCAAAACCTCAAAAAAATAGGAGGTGACTCCTATTCTCACCCCACTGGAGAGGTGAGGAAGCTCTTCACCAAGCAATCAGCACCCAGGAAATATTGACCTTTGTTACTAGAAAGGTTCGAGGCAAAGCCAAGGCTCCACCATGGGTGGGCTTCAGGGAACCCAGGGCCAGTGTGCCAGGCTCCAGTGTCACTTCATCCAGAGATGAAACCTTATCCTGCCGGCCTGGGGTGAGTGGCCTTGTGAAAAGTGCTGGTCCTTGCCGATGGAGGGGCCGGTTACCTAGGAGTGAGGCTGGTGGGACCATGCATCCCCAGCAGAGGGAATGGGCCCAAGTCTGCTCCAATACCTGCTCTGAACTCATGTGTGGACAGCTGTGTCGCATGCAGTGACGAGCAATGAGTGTCACCAAGAGTCCTGCTAATGTCCAGCGTTGGCCAGACTCCCTGGGCTTGCCTGGCCACCTACGGTTCCTGCCTCTCCCCTCTCTTCTCAGTGCTACCATGGGGAGCTGGTGAGTGTCCCACTCCCAGTCCACTCCCAACTGCCCACTGCTCTGGACAGTTGCCCCTGGCAGAGCCTTGCTGGGGGTTATGTTCCACCTGCCCATATCCCTGTTGTGACCGAGAATGACTGATAAGGGGGCACAAGGACGTGGTTCACTGATAAAGCCCAGGTCAGAGCTGGGCAACAGAAACCCTGATTCTTGTTTGAGGACCCTCCCTGCATCCTGCCTGGGGGGCTGGGTAGGGGAAATGTATAACAAAGCAAGAGGGTTGGCCAGGAACACTGGACAGGAGCAACCTCTCGGCAAACTGTTGTCAATGTCAAAGCAGTTGGACTCACAATGCCCAGAGTGAAGAACGGGCGGCGGGCTTGGTTGGTGGCAAACACTTCCAGGACGACCATTTGGGCCACCTTGGCCTGATCCTGTTCCAGGAAGAAGTCCGGGGACTCCTGCAGGAGGACCTTCACGATCTTTGTGGCCCCCATCTCTGCCGCGGCCTGGAACGACATCAGACCCACAGGTGACCCCCAAGATGCCTTCCTGTACTCCCTGAGCCTCTGTCCTCCCTGCCTGCTCTGTGTTGCAGCCACACACCCTTTCCTCTGCTCCTGGAACAGACGGCGGCTCTTTGCCTCTTCCTGCCTCTGCTCTTGCTGCTCCCCTGTCTGGAATGCTCTTTCCTCCAGCAAGCCCTCCCTCATCTCCTCGATTCTACCAGGTGACTCAGCAATGCTCTCATTACCCCTAGAACCTGTCCTTAATTGCAGCACTGGAAATGGGAATAGCAGCAGTATTATCAATGATTTAATTTAGGTCTAATGGCTGGGCTGGGACGATAACACAGTGGTTAGGGTGTTTGCCTTGCACGTGGCCGACCTGGATTCGATTCTTCTGTCCCTCTTGGAGAGCCTGGAAAGCTACTGAGAGTATCCCGCCCACACCGCAGAGCCTGGCAAACTCCCCGTGGCATATTCGATATGCCAAAAACAGTAACAAGTCTCACAATTAGAGACGTTACTGGTGCCCTCTCAAGCAAATCGATGAACAACGGGAGGACAGTGCTACAGTGCAGTGCAGATCTAATGTCATGTCAGTTTCCATAGGGATGAGGATCTGGTCTAAAGAAGGTGCCTGGGAGGGAGGGAGAGTAGAACCCCAGATACTTTGTTCCCCAGAGGCCAGTGGACAGACCAAAACAAAGCCCAGGAAGCCGCAGATGGGACCTACCTTTTCACTGATCTCCTTGATGCTGGCCTTCAGCTTGTGGGACAGCTCGGGCAGCTGACGGGGAGAGAAAACCAGGGCGGGTGAGCCAGCACCCCACCCACGCAGAGCTCCCCTGAACCCTGGGAAGAGCTGGAGGTGGGGGGTGTGGTGGCGGCTGGGAATAGCCCCACCAAGTGTCTCTTGTGGGCAGGAGCAGGTCATGTCAGCTGCTACGTGCCCACTGCTCAACTTCCCCTGGTGGGAGTTGGTGGTGGTTGTGGTTCCGTGGGCAGGAGAAACCCCAGAGGACATGAAGGTGGGACAGAATTCTCATGACAGACGTAAATGTGGCCGCTGCTGCCCATTCCAGCTTCCCCGCCATCAGCATCTGACCCTGAGCTCCAGTCCTCACATTGTCTCTGGCAGACCTGGAGTCCTGATACACACCCACCACCGAGTGCCAACCTCCTCTACTCCAGGCCTCAGTTTCTCTGGCAGGAGGGGGTGGGGAGTCCTGCCCTGCTGTTGATGAGCAGATCACAGCTGCATGGTCACAGAGATCTGTGAGTGCTGTTTGCCCATGCCCGTGGAGGCCAGGGTGGCACAGGGGCTAGCCCTGGCCCACGGAAGACCTGTGATGCTTGGCCTACCAAGGCTGCTCCCTGGCCAGGGGAGCAGGTAGCTCAGGTGGCAGGGGCAGAAGTGAGGTCAGGGGCCATATGCTATTGAGCAGGCCATTTCCCCAGGGAGATTGTTTTGCTTCAAGAGAGGGATGAGCACTCCGTTAGCAGTGATATTCAAACCTGGGAGTCACCTGGATTTGGAACTTTCCTGCCTTGTGGCTGTCTCTGCAAAAACTCACCACGTAGTCCAGCAGGATCATGAGTTCCTCTGGTGGGATGACAGTGGCGATGGCGGCGTTGACCACGTCCTGCCTCACGGCAAAGCTGAAGGGGGCGCCGTTCAGGGCGGGCGTCGTCAGCGAGGCCTTGGACTCATTGAACCACCTGGTCACCTTCCCCTGGGAGTCCAGCAACTTGGCCTGAGGAGACACAGAGGAGTGGTGACTGGGAACTGGAATTCACCCGGCAGCCACCAGAAGGCAAGGACAAGCCTGGTCCCTGGGATGCTCAGCTTGGAAGCCAGTGATGAGAGTCCTCTGCACCTCATCGCGCTTCCTCCACGGACACGCTGCAGGTCATCCCACAACGCTCCCCCCCTTTTTTTTCTTTTTGGGTCACATCTGACGATGTCCAAGGGCTGCTCCTGGCTCTGCACTCAGGAATTACTCCTGGTGGTGCTTGGGGGGACCATATGGGATGCTGGGATTGAATATGGGTCTGCCGTGTGGAAAGCAAATGCTGTACTATTGCTCTGGCCCTCGGCACTGCTTTTTGGTGGGGTTGGGTAGGAGGAGGTTTGGGCCACACTCCGTGGTTCTCAGGGCTTATTCCTAGCTCTGCTTAGACATAACTCCTGGGGACCAGGCAAGGCAAGTGTCCTTGCCCCTGGACTATCTCTCTGGTTTTGTTTTTAAATCTATACATCACAGATGCCATTTAGGTAGAGGCTCCTCAGATACTGCACAAACCTTTTAGATAATGGGAAAATGACAAGTGCCACGCGATGGATGGAGATGTGGTTCCCCAGGGGATCTCTGGGAACCGGCTGGGGGAGCATGGAGTTGGAAGAAGTGCCGAGATCTGCGTGACCCTCAATGGTGTCTTGACCCTGGGCTTTGGGGTCAAGGGAATCAGACATTTGGGGACTGGTAGGGATTTTTCTGAGAGCAAAGCCAAGAGCCCCTGTGCATCCTCACTGGCTCATAAAACTCTGGAGAGAGACAGAAAGTGGGGACAGTGCTGGCAGTGCAGTCCTTTCCACTGTTCTCTCGTGACCATGGTCAGCCTGGGGTTCCTTGGGACTGTTGAGTTTTCTAAGTAGGCCTCTCTGTGCTGGTGGACAGGTCAGTGCCTCTGACCCTGGGTCTGGTCAGGGAGACAGCAGTGAGGGCCCTGGACACTCACCCCCAGGTGCAGCTGGATGACTTTATCCTCGATGGCAGTGGACAGAAGGTGGAACTGCAGGTGATCAGAGCCGACGGAAATGGGCGCTGCTCAGGGATGAGGAGAAAGTTCTGTTATTGGGGGTTGGGTGCGGTCTGGAGGGAGAGTAAAGATGATGTGTGTGACCCAGGACTGTGTTTCCCCCAACATTCATTAGCTACTGTGACCCTCAAGACAGCTTAACACGGGGCTCCTGACTGAACCTCACTTTCCAGGTAGGAATGGGAGGCGTAGAAGACTGAAATACCTCCCTCAAGGTCTGTGGGGGCAGGATTGGACCCAGTAAGTTCGTTGGCCAATGTCTGGTTTGGAACAAAAGTGAAGTATGGGGACTGGAGTGATAGTACAGTGGGTAGGGCATTTGCCTTGCACACGGCCAACCTGGGTTTGATCCCCGGCATCCCATATGGTCCCTCGAGCACCACCAGGAGTGATTCCTGAGTGCAGAGCTAGGAGGAACCCCTGAACATCGCTGGGTGTAACCCAAAGAGTCAAAAAGGTGAAGTATGGCTTGTAACTCTTCCTCTGCCCGCCTCTATCTGGTAGTACACCCCAAATGCAGGCCCAGTGACCTGCCCCAGATACCGCTTCTGCTGGTGATGATCTCTCGAGGGTATGGGGCAGAGGAGGAGGAGGGACAGGGACCAGTACTGGGAAAATGTGGGCCCTTGATCAGGCCTGTCCCTGCAGCCCTCCTCTCCTCTCTGTTCCTGGGAAGGGAGGTGACCCTGGGATGTGGGGGTACGAAGCCTCTTCTGCAGGAGAGAACCAGAGGATGAAAAGGATTTGCTGGAGGTGTATTTCCCAGAACCATTGACATGAACCAGGATTTTGTTTTGGTTTCACTGTACACAGACAGTGCTCTGAGCCTGCTCTTGGCTCTGTGCAGGAGCTCACTCCTGGAGGTGCTCAGGAGTCTCAGTGCACATGTGGAGTATGAACCCAGATCAGCCCATTCAAGGCAGGCATCGCAACCCTTGGAGTATCTCTCTGGCCCCCAGAGTTGGGATGTGATGCTGGGTTTAGGGGGAACCTGCTGGCTCCTAGCACATCTGGGGTCTAGGGGGTGTTCACCTGGCCATTGCTTGGGTGCAGGAACAGCAGCAGGGGTGGTCCACGTGCTCTGTGGCACTCACTCCTGATAGGCAGGCCTGTTCGGGCAGGGCCAAGGGAGGAAAAGGGTTTAGAAGAGGGGTGCACATACCTTTGATCAGACCAAGGATATCTGCACTCAGGTCCTCAAAGGCCACCTTCATCACAGGACACAGCTGCAATGGCACGAGCGGGGCCTGTTAACCAGGGAAGGAGCAACCCCACGGCACCTATGCCTGCCCCTCCGAGTTAGGCCACTGGGCCCTTCATGGGTCCAATTTTCTGCTTCAGCACCAAGGACTCAGGAGGTGTCTACTCCCCTGCCATCCGGGGAGCCCCTCCCCACAGCTCCAAAATAACCTGATGTTTGCTTTGGGGCCAGGGTGCCCCTGCCTGCCCACTGCCTTCCCTATGGAATCCTGGTCTGCATCTCCAGAATTTTCCATAAGAAGGACACAGAAACTGTTTTCCTCCACAGATCCCAGCCCTTGGGGAGTCTCAGCTCCTCCCTCTGCTCTGGGAATTCCCCACTCCCAGCTGGGGGCAAGTTTGATCCCCAACAGACAGCTGGAATTTTCCAGAGACCTTTGTTTCCACAATTTTGAGGGGTATGATCGATATCTTGTGCATAGAGGGGAGAAAAGGTTGCTAAATATCCCACCGTGCCCTGATGCAACCTCTGGACAAAGAACCAGTCCCTGGTGGCGGGGGAGCAAGTTCAACCCTGGGGCCTGCAGGAACCAAATGCCCCACTGTCTACCATCGGCAGCACATACCCAGGGCAGCACTCCAGGTTTTGGTCATTGTAGTTCCAATGTGAGAAAGATGACGTTTTCTGATGATCTGTTTCCAACACCCAGCCCCAGCTACACATTAGTAACCTCTGGGAAAGTTAGAAGCTTCTTGGGCACTAGGCCCCCCAGTCCCCCTTGAGCAACTGCATAGGAGTTCTGGGAAAAACCTTGATATTGGGGTGGGATCCACATATGTACCCTAGAGGGTAATGGGAGGGATATCCTGCCTGGTTTAAACGTCTTTTCCTTCGTATGACGAATGGACTAAATCCAGTCTAAAAAAGTCTCCTGCAACGTTTGAATGCCTGTGAGGGATCAAAGCTGCCCCCTGCCGACAAACGCTGCCAATTCGGGTGGGAGGGGAGGGAAACCATGACTGGGAGAAATGTGTTTCTCAACTCACTCACCACACTTGACTTTTAACCTTAAAAGTGGATGTTATGCAAAGAGAACTTTATAACCCCCTTATTTTTGCTATCTTTTTTTTTAGCAGGAAATACATTTTTAGAAATTTAAATATAACACCTGTTAAAACTATGATTTTGTTGGAAGCTGTAAAACAGTTAAAAACTTCTGCCTTTAAATAGAAAAAGAAAATGAATTCTTAAAAGAAAAGCAATTCTCTCTCAAAAGAGAATTCAAGCTGAGAATCACTGGGAATAGCCCCCCCCCCCCACCCCCCGAGCACTGCTTGGGAGCACTCTCCTTCCAAAAGGGAAGAAACATCAACACACACAAAAGTTTTCACTTTCCAATTCTGTTAAGGCGGCCCTCTGGATGTTGAGTGAAGCATGAGATGTCATTGTTCGGATTATTTCATGACAGTATAAAATTCAGGGGAAACTTAAAGGACACCGAGAAGCTAAAGCTAAGGCAGCGTCTAGAACAGGGAGCATACAGGAGGGCAGGGTTGAAAGTTAATATAGGATTATGACTATTTTTTTTTCTTTTTGGCTCATACCCGGTGATGCACAGGGGTTTCTCCTGGCTCTGCACTCAGTAATTACTCCTGGCAGTGCTCAGGGGACCATATGGGATGATGGGAATCGAACCCTGGTCGGCTGTGTGCAATGCAAACGCCCTACCCACTGTGCTATCACTCCAACCCCCAGATTATGGCTATTTTTGAAGAAGTTTTGTTATCATATTATCTTTCTTGAGGGCTTCCCAAGTGATGCTCAAGAGGCCCCAAGAGACTTCACCAGTGAATCTTGGCCAACTGGACCAAGAGTCAGTGCAAGAGCCTGAGAGTCCTGGGCTATGGTGACCCTGCAATGCTGGCTACCCTTGGTGGTGCTGGGGATCCCACAGGCTCTATCCAGCTATGCTCAGGGGACCTTTGGTCCCAGAGATCAAACACAGGTCACCAACTGCAGATGCCCGGCCAGGGTTCGATTTGTCTCCATGCTGTACTGCTGCACTATCTTTTTTGTCCCTCACTCATAGTATCTTTTACATTAAAAATGTCTCATAAAACTATATTTTTAGGAGCTGGAGCGATAGCACAGTGGATAACGTGTTTGCCTTGCATGCAGCTGACCTGGGTTTGATTCCCAGCATCCAATATTGTCCCCCCAAGCACTGCCAGGAGTAATTCCTGAGTGCAGACCCAGAAGTAACCCCTGAGCATCACTGGGTGTGTCATGAGATATAAAATCTCAAAAAAATATAAAGTGAGTATCTCAGGTACTCTGACTCCCGGTAGGCCTATTGTTCTGCATATTTGAATTTGGGATGCAAATGAAGGGTCAAAGTGGATTCTTCCTGCCGAGAGGGTTTCTCCTTACCTCTGACACATGAATGAGGCTGGCTCATACTTCAGAGAAGCCAGCCTAGACTAATGGGAACAGGGGACAGAGCCCTGCAGGCCCCAGCCGGGGATGGGATGAGATACTATATTGAGGTATCCAGAGTGGTCTGAGACTCTTGCTGAATTTTCTGGAATTTCTCCACCAGGGGCTAAACCCAGACATCATTGAAACTATGAGCTATGAAATTGTACTAAAAGTAGAGAGAATAGAAATTCAAGACTCGTTATAGTCAACCCTTGAGTAGGTATGAGAAATACTGACCCTGCCTGGTGGAAACTCCACGCTTGGCTAATAAGCTCCTCCTAAACGTGGTTCCCCACAACTCACTGCTCACCGAAAGCTTTCCTGGTCAGTGTGCGGGACCACGCTTGGCATGTTAACTGCATTATATACGGGGTTCTTAGGTAAGGTCATGCAGTCTTTGTACAAGTCCCAGAAAACCTCACAGCTCAACCTGGTACTACACAGATGCATTGCTATTAACTCTGTGAAGGTAAAGGTAAAGGTAAAGGCCCTCCCGTTGATCGTCGATTTGCTCGAGCGGGCCCAGTAACGTCTCCATTGGAGACTTTGTTGTTACTGTGTTTGGCATATTGAATACTCTCGGTAGCTTGCCGGGCTCTCCGAGAGGGGCAGAGGAATCAAACTCTGGTCGGCCATGTTGGCTGCTTGTAAGGCGAACACCCTACCGCTGTGCTATCGCTCCAGCCCATAGCACAGCGGGTAGGGCGTTCGCCTTACAAGCGGCCAACATGGCCGACCCGAGTTCGATTCCTCCGCCCCTCTCGGAGAGCCCGGCAAGCTACCGAGAGTATCTCGCCCGCACGGCAGAGCCTGGCAAGCTCCCCGTGACGTATTCGATATGCCAGACACAGTAACAACAAAGTCTCCAATGGAGACGTTACTGGGCCCGCTCGAGCAAAATTAACTCTGTGAAGTTTGACTATTTCATTGCTCCTGATCCTACTTGTGTGGGGTGGTACTTTAGGGAAGTGTGCCTTGGGGCAACTTCCCAATTCCGCTTAGTGCCAGACCATTTGCACCTTAAAGTTAGCTCTGGAGGGAGGTTGACCCAGGAAACCAGTAAATGCTCCAAATCAGGCTTCAGCCCCTCCAGCATCAATTCTAACATTAATCATGCTCTGCTGGCTGACTTTTGGCAACTCCCTTTTGCCAAGGATCTTTGGTGACAGCGGCCTAGAAATTTCTCCACCCCCTCTCCCCTCAGGGAGGGAGATGCAGTTCCCACACAGCCCCGCAGAGGGCACAAGTGTCAAAAGGCCCTAAGGTCTGAATCCACTCACCTCGCTCTTCACCAGCTTGGGCAGGGCTGGCACCAAGAGGCTTATGATCTTGTTGCCTAACGTGTTGACCATGAAGGAGAAGCTTTTTGAAAGAGAACAGAAGAGATTAGGAGCATCAGAGATGATCGACTCTCTTTTTTTCATTAGGAGAAACCAAGGGTGGTGGTGGTGGTGGGCCTGAACTTGGCTGTCAGGCACAGGACAAAGGGCAGACACTGAGCCAAGGGAGCAGCTGGACAGTCCTCAAGGGGCGGGGCTGGAGCCGGTCTCTAGAACCTTCTGCTGGATCCTGTGGGACCACAGCACCCACCAGCTGCCAGCTGAGTTTCGGCTGTTGCTGGGGGTGGGGTGGGGGCTCCCCAGTGGCTTGGGGATCCTGGGCTAGTGGTGTTTGGACTGGGGGTGCTCAGGGACAAAACCCAGGACACAAGCAAGCGGGCACCCCCACCCCCCCCCCCACTGCAGAGCCACACCCAGAACCAGGGCCGGATGTCATCCTGCCACTGTGTCCAGGAGGTGAGGCCAGGAGGGCACTTGCCCTGTGTCACCTGGACACTCAATAAAGGAAACACCTTTGACTCCAAAGGGCCTTTGTCCCCAGGGCAGGGGGCCAGAGGGTGTTTGGGAGGAGAGTTCCCATATCTGCCCCACCCCGAGACCTGGCGTGTGTGTGCCTCTCTCTGGTGTTTTCAACAGCCCAGGGCATCAGGTTTCCCAAGGGAGCCCCACAGCCGGGGTACAATGACTGGGGCCACTGGCTTCCCTCCCCACCCTCTGCGGGGCCCAGGGCAGGGGCAGCTGGCTCTCACCTCCCCAGCAGGCTGATGCGCAGGCTGCCCTGGCTGCTGCCACAGTCCTTCAGGACCAGGCGGCTCTGGCCTCCCACGGTCTCCACTCCGATGGTGGCTTGCGCCTCCGACTCCATGTGCATCTCCACGATGGTCTTGACCAGCGGCCTGGGAGAGGGGGGTGCTGGGCTGTGAGCACGTGTGGCCCCGTCTGCCCCTGCTCCCTCTCCCCCCGTCCCCCGCAGTCTCTCTCTTGGATTTTCAGGGTGCACAGGGTTCATCCCAATCATGGGCCTCTTTTGGATTCCTCTCCTGGATCAGTTGCTCTGCCAGGAGCTTCTAAATCTCCACCGGACTCCTCACTCAGATGCCGCAATGGTCACAGAAACAAACTGAGCTCAGACCCTACCCCACACTGCTCACCTCAAGAGCCCCCACCTGTTTTCGGCCCTCCATCCTGACATCATTGTGTTTCCTCTCTCTGTCTCTCTCTCTGTCTCTCTTTATCTCTCTGTTTCTCTCCCTCTCTGTCTCTCCCCCTATTCCATTCAATCAATCCATATTTCTTCCCCCCCCCCCCCCCCCGGCACACACACAGACTTTCAGAATGACTCCATGTCTCACGCCTTCCCGCCTCCTGCACCCTGCCCAAGCTCTCGTGTCTCCTGAATTCTCAGGTAGCTTCAGCACAGCCTCTCCACCTCCCCTCTCGCCCAGGCGCAGCAAACAGGATTCTCCTCCCCGTCATGCTCCCCCTCTGTTCACAGCCCTCTGGGGCTCCCACCTCACTGTCCAGGTGCTCACCTTGACCCACGAGACTATTGCATCTGCCCAGCTGCATGCTGGCCGCCCCCCCACCCCCACCCACCTTCTTTGCCATTCTTTGAACAAGGCCAGGGCACTTGCTTGTATCAGAATCTCTCTGCTTGCTTGCATGCGAGCTTTCTCTCTCTCTCTCTCTCTCTCTCTCTCTCTCTCTCTCTGTATGCATGTTGTGTGTGTGTGTGTGTGTGTGTGTGTGTGTGTGTATGTGAGATCTACTGCCAAACCACCCTGGATGTGCCGCATCTCATCTGTATGTGTGTGTTTGTGGGGAGGGGGGTACGTGAATGAATGAAGGCACATATGTGAATGAACGTGACTGGGGGTATGTGAATGCACAAGGGTGCCTGAAGAAACGTGTCTGCTGAACCCGACTGTGGGGATACTCACGTATTGAATCCGGCCACCATGTCCAGGGGGACCCTGACCACAAACTCCTGGCTCCTGGAAGAGGGCAGCACCTGCAGCTGGAGGATGCTGGCCGAGGTCACCTTCAGCCTGTGTGGGGCAGAGAGACGAGACTGAGACCGACCACTGACATGGCTCACCTGGAACCTCCTTCCTCCACCTGTACTTCTCTTCTGGAACCCAGCCGGAATCTGGGCCCACACCACATGCACTCCCTGCTTCCCAGCAGCACCCTGAGCCCCTCTCTGCCCCTCCCCCACTTAGGAGATGACCCTCAGCCTCCTCTGAGACCTGTCCCACCATCCCTCCTGGACGTGGGTTGGGCACCAGCTCCTGGGCCCCTGGGCCCCTGTTGCCCATCTCCTGCTGAGCATGACCCCCGCTCTGCTCCCTGCCCACCTGGCCTCTCCACAGGGCAGTTCCCCTAATCTCTTTACTCCCCTGCCTGGGGACCTTCCTCTGTGGTCACCCCTGCTCTGCCCCTTCACTGTCTCCTGCGTTTCACCTCAGAGGGAGGGACTGTGTGACCTTGCGTGCACCTTCTTTATTCTCAGCTCATCGCCAAGTGGTCCCCAGGTGCTACTGACCGACCAGCCGAGCATGGAAAGCACATCCTGGCCATGGAGTGAGCCCTCGAACCCACCCAGTGCCTGGTGCAGTCTGTCTTCACTTACCAGACAATGTACTTGAGGATGGAGCTCACCAGGCCGCCAATTAAGGGGATGCCCCCGGCAGGCTCGTCCCGCATGGCGTTGATCAGGGGCAGCTTCTTGAGGATGTCAATGGCATCATGGTCCTTCAGCTCCTGTGTGAACTCTGGGGAAAGATTCCGCGGGGTAAGGTGGGGGTGGAGGGAGGTAACAGGGTCTCTGCGTCAGTGGACTGAAGTCTGCTCAGGGCTAAGGGTCAGGGTGGGGCATGGCTGGCCCCTTTCTATCTTGCTCTGTCAATGTGTCCTTGACGACAATGGCTGGGGTGGGTCATGGGCCTGCAGCCTGTGGCTGGGGTCTGGGTGACCCCGCACACACCCTGAGCACTGCCAGCTCCTGCAGCGGTAGGCCCAGACACCTGCATGTGGGTCTGGAAGGCCAAGGGCAAAGGTCAAGAGGCCAGGTACCCACCAGGCTTTGCTCCATGCCCTGTTGTTGACAAGACACCCTGGCAAGAGTTCTCTGAGGCCCTCAGTTTCTGGGTCTGTGCTCCTGAGAGCCTCGGGCCAGGCAGAGAAAAGGGGGTGGAGTCCAGGCTCAGGAGCAGCAGAACCCTGGCCCTGGGTTCTGATCTCTGGTTTTTGTGGGGCACCAGGAACCACTGGCTGTGTGCAGAGTGGTGGGGCCTGGAGCACTGATGGCAGCTAGGGAGGACGGGTTGAAAGCCCCTCCGTGACGTGCATCACTCAGGGCTGTAGCTCTGCCCGTATCCAGAGACACAGTCCTGTGTGTGACTACCTCTCAGCGACACCCCTTTCGCCTCCTCTATGATCGCAGTCAGAGTGAGCCTGCCGGTAGGGGAGTGGAGAGGAAAGGGCACCTCCTGTCCAAGGTTCCTGGGGTGTCGCCTCCCGGGACTTCTGAGTGCTTGCACGGCCCAGGCAGCCCAGTCAATGGGTGCCCAGTCACATCTGGACAGCCTTCTGAAGTAGGTTGCCCAGCACCACCAGCCACCTTCATTTCCACTCCCACTGGATGCCCAGGAACCTCGAAGGAAGGTGCCCTCCACTGGCTCCTGGCTGCCCCACTGCGACCAGCTCATTCCAACCCGGCCTGTCCTTGCTTTGTCCTTGGAGGAGGCTTTTTCCCCCCATCTCTTTCCCTTCTCCACTGAGCCCTGGGCCCAGATCTGCGGGTCACCTTGTCCCTCTCAGGGCAGCACCGAGAGGCCCAGGCACCCAGCAGGACTGAGCGCAGCACCCTGGCTCCTGGCTCCTCCTCCCCTTACAGGATACCCCCTCCCCTCCCCTGCAGTGCTTCCACCCTCACCTCCTCCTAGTCCTCACCTCCCCCACTCAGCTCCTGCGGGGGCACCCCATAAGGCCTTTTCTCTCTTCTGTGGCTGGGGCCACGTGCCTGTGGCCTGGCCTGTGGGTACAGGACACCTCTGTCCCCCCAGCAGCACCCCCAGATCTCTGCTCCCCTTGGCATGTGGGATCCCTCCTTCGTCTCAGGACGGGCCCATTGCTGCCATCAGCGTCAGTTCAGCCCTCCGAGCCCTCTCTCCACAACCAGCTCTAACTGCCCCCTTGGGCGCCCTCCCGGGAGCCAGCGCTCTGCAGCGGTTGCTCCGTGAGGCTCTGTGACCTTGGACACATCACCAATGCCCCACAGAGCCAAGGATGCTGCTCAACACCCCTCGGCCCCCGCCAGCCGCCAGTGATATGGCCACCAGGGCAGAAGCGCCAAGGGGAGGGACCTGCAGGCTCACCACACTGCTGCCACTTCCTGTGATATGGGGGGACCCTGACGAGGGGGGAGACAAGAGCCCAGGTTTCTGGGGGAGGGAAGTGGGGTCAGGGGCTGCTTGGGCATCAGAGCTGGAAGAAAGCGGCAGTGCATCACCCCAGGCTATTGGAGCAAGTGGGGCCCTGGGTGCGGCCAGGGACCGGGTGCATGTGGGTGAGACTGAGAGGTGGAGCCCTGGGGTGGCCCAGGTGAGTGCAGAGGGCAAGGTCATTGCATCACCAAGGACCTTGAATCATGGGGACCATGGACTTGAATCACGGACCCTCCCACCTCTAACTCACCTTTCAGCTTCCCCCAGCAGGGGTTCCCACTGTCTCTGCACAGACTCAGGGATAGAGACATTAGCCCCTTCTATCCCCCCTGCCCACCTCTTGCTTAGAGAGCCGTCCTGTGTCCATGCTGGACTCACTTCATTTTCCTTTTTATTATTATTTTTATTATTATTATTGGGCCGGAGCGATAGCACAGTGGTAGGGCGTTTGCCTTGCACGCAGCCAACATGGCCGACCAGAGTTCGATTCCTCCGCCCCTCTCGGAGAGCCCGGCAAGGTACCGAGAGTATCTCACCCGTATGGCAAAGCCTGGCAAGCTCCCCGTGGCGTATTCAATATGCCAAGCACAGTAACAACAAGTCTCACGATGGAGACGTTACTAGGTCCGCTCGAGCAAATCGATGAACAACGGGAGGAGAGTGACAGTGATTATTATTATTAATATTTTATTGGGTCCATGCCCAGTGGAATTGGGGGGTGTTGGGGCCCAGCATGCTGCCCTGATGGTCCAGTGCTGCTCGGGAGGGTCCCCCAGTCCATGCCAGGCTGGGGGTGGAGTATGGAGTCGGTTTTGGGATTAAGCTGTGCAGATGCTATACCTGGCTCTCCTCCTGCCTCCAGACCTATCTTCTTGTTTTGGGTCTTGGGTTACTCCTGTAGGTGCTCAGGATGGAACCGGGGCTGGTCCCGTGGAGGGCAACCTCCACACACCCCGTAAGAGCCCTCCAGCCCAACTTACTTTCTTTAAGGATTTCCGGGCTGAGGCTGAGAGCAGCAGGTGGGCCGAGGTGGGCTCCCACCAAGGCAGCCGACAGGAGCACAGACAGGATGGTGAGTGTCCCTGGGCGGGCCATCTTCCTGGCGTCAGGGGCAAGCAGCAGAACCTGGAGGAACAACAGCCTCCGGCTTAGCACCAGAGAAGCCAGAACAGGCTCACTGGGGAGGGCGCCCCGAACGGCTGGGTTGTGCCACAGTCAGCCTGAGGATGTGGCCCTCCCTCATTTGGGCCTGGGTCCTTCCTCCTCTGGGTAGGTGCCTACTGTGCATCCCCAGACTATGAACAGACCCTCTCTATGCTGGTTTCTCCTGCAGTGATGGGCAGAACGGCCACTTCTGATGGATCAAAGGTGAGTTACTCTCCAGAAAGTGCTCAACACTGGGCCAAGCATGCAGAGCTCTTGGAAACACGAGCTTTTCTATAGGACAGGCCTGTCGGGGTTCAGCTCCTAGCACCTGACCTTGACTCCCCTTTGCACTGTGACCCTTGACCCCTTCTGGTTTCCCTGTGTCCTCCACGCTGCCCACATCCAGGCAGAGCCTGGCCACATCATCCTGGGGCTGGACTCTGGGGGCCAAGGGAGAGGAGAATTCAGGTGGGATTCAAGGTGGGGCTGAGGAAGCTGTTTGAGGCTCACAACCTGAGGTGGAAGCAGGTGGGTGCTGGGCGCCCGCACCAGGAAGAGCCGTGCAAGAGAGGACAGATCTGCGGGGGCCCCAGGAAGGAGCACCTGAGGTCTCTGCCCCGACTGCTCTGTGGGGCATCAGCACCCGTGACGGTCCCCAGCCCCCAGCTCCACCAGCATCGCTGCAGCTTCTGCCTCCTCGGCTGTCCCACCAGAGGGGAGACGAGGCCGATCCAGTCCCTGCTTGCTCAGATGTGGGTTCTCAGTGCCAGAGACCAACAAGGCGCCTACAGTATCTGTATCTGAGCAGGCACAGGGAGCAACGAGGCTACACCTGCAGCCGGAACCCCGAGGGAAGGGTTGGGGCGATCCGGAGGCCCTCAGCCTCTCCCCTACGCCTTTACCTGCTCCTGGACGTGTGGTCAGTGCGCTCCTCCTCTGGGCAGTGGGACTGGAGCCTTATATCCTGCACGGCCGCCCTGGGCGGCTCCTCTGCATCTGGGCTGAGGTCTCCAAGATAAATATTTGTGGCTTTCGGTAGCCCACAAGCCTGCCAGAGGCGGCAGGAGATTTCAGCTTCTTGAGGAAGGAGGGTCGGGCCACGGGCTGGCACTCTGCACGGGTGGCCTGTGGGAGGGGTCCCTGCTGGCCCCGCTCCTGGGGGCTGATGATGAGAGCCTTGAACCCTTCCCACACTGCAGGGCCAGACCTGGCCCCCCACACTCTGTGGAACCACATGCCCACTGGGCCATCTTGCCCCCTGCCCAGGAAATCCTGACTGGCAGCAAATGGCTGGAAGGGGGCTTCCAGCTTCCTCCACTGCATGGGAGACTTGGGTGTCCCTGAACAGACTCAGGGCAGTCCTGACCCCCATTTCCATCTGGGAGATTTGGGGCACGTCCCCTAACATCTTGGAGTTTCAACTAGGAAGTGGGAGGAAGAGCTTAGAGTATCGATGAAGCACCCCTGGGTGGGTGTGGGATGAGGCTGCTCCTGCACAGACCCAAGGGTCCGGGAGAGGGGGAGGGGACAGGGATGTCTTAGGGAGGGTTTTCACTCCTGAAGGCTGGGGAGCACCCACCCCAGACCTAATAAGTCAGGGAGAAAGGGAGGATCTCTGTCTGTCTGTCTGTCTGTCTGTCTCTGTCTGTCATTGTCTCTCTGTCTGTCTGTCTCTGTCTGTCTGTCTGTCTGTCTGTCTGTCTGTCTCTCTCTCTCTCTCACACACACACACACACAGAAACACACACATTATATTTCTTCTTTCTCCTCTAATCATCCAGCAGTGGGTCACCGGCAAGCAGGAGAGGCCAACAGTCAGTAGTCCATCTGCCCTCCTATCATGGCAGAAAAGACACCCCAAGCTCCAGGAAGCCAAACTGTGTTTAAGGTTGAATGTCTTGGATGTGTTCATGGGGAGACTTTCCAACCTCTCTGCTGGACAAGGGAAGAGGAAGAAGCTTGTGACGGCCACTTTGTCCTCTTGTTACCTGGGCAAGGTCCTCGGCCTCTGGGCCTCTATCTCCTTGTCTGTGAGGAGGTGACAGAAGCATGACTTTCTAAGGCTGTGGGGAGCAGGAGCTGAGCTGTGGGGGTACCCACCTATTCCTTATAGGCAGTGAGCCCCCAAGTTGCCTGGTGCACCTCCCAGAAATCTCCCAGGAGATATGGGGCAGCTTAGCGATCACCAAAAAGGGCAAGAGAACCCAGTCTCAGGACCCTGCTCAGAGTCCTCTGGGGGTCCCGGGGACTGATGTCCTCTCATGTCCCCCCATGGCCTCCAGGGGTGCACAGTGGCTCCCTGCCTTCACTCAGGGGTGGGTGCTGATTCTGGGTCCCCCTGTCAGCCTGCTGAATCTGGTACTGAGCCCGCTGTCCACTCCAGACTCCAAGATGCCCACCTTCATGTGTGCCCTGCCCAGGGGACCCAAGTCAGTGTGGCGGGCACAGGTTGGAGTGGGTCAGTGAGTGTCACGGCTGCCTGACCACAGCCAAGAATTCTGCCTGTGCTCAGAGTGAGAGGTGGTGGCGTGAGGGCACTGCTGAGTCTTGTGTCTGGGCGGTGGAGGGGGGAGGCACTGAGTGCCCGGAGATTAGAGTGAGAAGGTCTGTCCTGCCTGTCAAATGTAAACAGGCAGGAACTTTGCCCTCCTGTGGTGCTGACAAATGTGCCAAGGGCTCTGCTCATCTCTAGGATTCTTTGGGAGGCAGGTAGCCCCTGGGAAGGACCCTGCCAGGCCCTTGGGCTCATCTCCAGAGAAGCAAACGTCCCCCCTGGGCACCTCGTCCCGCCATGCTTCTGCCCATGTACAATGCCCTTCTGTGGGAGCCTGAGCCCAGTGCCAGGCCTGATCCTGCATCAGCTTCGCTTCCTGCCGTGAGTCCCTGGTCACTCGTGGGAGTCAGCAGGTTGGCTGCACCTCTGAAGGCCTGGCCCAGCCTGAGCCCCTGAGTGCCCAGGCCCTGCCCTTAGTGCCACTCAGCCCTGACTCCTAGGAACTCTCTGTCCTGCCTCCCCTCCGCCCCCCAGCCTCTAATCTTTGCTTGTGCCACAAAGCCTTCTCCTCCTGGAAGCCTCCTCTACCCCCTTGACCCTCTGGCTCCTGGGTGGGTGGGTCCTGTGTGGGCAGCGGCACAAGCCAGGCCCTGGGCGTGCAGCAGACAGGGCTCATTTCTGGCTCTGCGCCCATCAGCCTGGTGGCCGTAGGAAAGCTGCTTCCTCTTGGAGCCTCTGTTCTCACCTGGAAACTGGGGCTGTTTGAGGGTCACACAGGAGGATGTAACATGACTGGAAGTGCAAAATTTAGTCAATGGCAACTGTAATTATTATCAAATATAAAACAACGAAGAGCCAATTTGAAAATAAGGATCTGCAAAAAGTCATCTGACAGCTGGGTCTCATCTTGTTTTCTCCAGAGAGCCTGGGAAGCTGTAATTACTTAATCTCTCAGACTCGGATCCTATCTTCCATGGCTGGTGTCCATCCGTTTATCCATCCGAGCATCCAACCATCAACACATCCATGCATGCGTGCATGCATCCATCAATGCATCCATCCATCCATCCATCCATCCATCCATCCATCCATCCACGCATCCATGCATTCATGCATCCATGCACCCACATATCTATTATTCAACTTTTCACATACTCATTCCTCTTTCTGTCTCTGGTCTCTCTATTTTCTCTTTTAATCCCCTTGACCCAAATCCAATATCCACCTAGTACCCCACGTTTGCCTTTGAAAACATTTGTCGAACTTTGTCACTCCCCCTCCAGCCCTCCCCTGCCCCTCCCCCACCAGTCATTACATCCCTTGGAACCTTCTGGAGATCCTACATGGAAGTTCACACTATCAGGCCCCTCTAGATCACATGCAAGTAGGTGCCATGAGCCTATGGTATAACTCTTGGGCCCAGGGAAAAGATTCCTGATCCAGACTGAGACAACGCAAGGGTCAGAAGGGGAAAGGAAGAAGTGAAGCTGTTTGCTGGGAGGCAGTTGTGGTCCCTTTTCCTCTCTCCCAGTGAGGAAAACATAACCTGGCCCTGGGGGCGGTGGGGGGAAGGACTTTTCAGGGACCATAGAGGAGCTTGAGGGGCAAGTTTCCTGGAGCTGTGGCCTGCAATGGACTCGGTTGTGTCTCTGTTCTCAGAGAAACAGTTGATGAGATGAAGTCCAGGTGAGAAGAATGGTGTCTGGGAGGGACTCCCCTAGAAGCTGAGATGGGTGTGGAGCCTGCAGGCAGAGACTCACCAGGGAACAGCATCATCCCCTGGGCAGGCAGGTCTAGAGGTGCAGAAACTAGGTTTGGGCCAGCCTGCAGGGCTGTCAGCCAGAACAGAAACTCTGCCCTTGTCTGCAGATGTAGCTTGAGAGGCCCATCAGGGAGGGTGGAAAATACCCCTAAAACATGCTCAGAGACTCAACACGAAACCTGCTTTGGCTTCCTGGAGCATGGGGTGTTCTGTGGTGATAGGACGGGTCAGATGAGCTTCTACTGACCCTTGGCCTCTCCTACTTGCCTCTATCCCATTGTTGGATGGTTAGAGAGAGAAAAGATGTGCATGTGTGTGTAAAAGGGAGAGAAGAAAAGAGAAAGAGAGACAGAGAGGAGAGAGAGAAAGAGAGAGACAGAGAGGATAGAGAGACCCCCTCTTTTCTCCTTGACCAATTAGGTCTGCATTGCTGCTTCAGTCAAGAGGAGAAAGAGTCTGAATATCAAATCAAAGCTCAATACTTCAGCACTGTAGTAGAGTGGAAAATGACCATTTTCATTCTACAGATCAACAAACTGAGGGCCAAAGAGTATAAAATTGGGGTGCTATCATCCAGACTTTCCATATGCAGGTTTGGGGAGAAGGGAAGTGACTTGCTCACAGCTGCGCATTCGCACCATATGGAGCAGAGTTCGGATTCAGTTGTGTCTGATCCTGGAGGCTCCGCTCTGCCT